TATTTTGACGGCAAGATATGACGCGCAGGATGAGCACAGAAGGCAGGGCTTCCAAAGGAGCTAGTGGCAAAGGAAGCACTCAAGACTGAATTGCACCATTCGAATTTGCTTCATAGTGCCTACCAGAAGCGTTACCTATCTAGCAGTAGTAGCAGCAAAACCGAAGAGGGCAGAGTCGAAGGTCTAGAGGACTGTAATAGTGCGAGACAGGCTACTTAAAATAATACAATTAGAAAGATTAGGTTACTGAGAAAGAAAGGTTAAAAGGTTATTAAGCAGGAGGACACTCAAGCGATGGTAGCTGCTGTAAAAGGCATAAGAGATGCTGTGAAATTGGAAGAAGAGAGGTTGGGGGAGCCTGTATCAAAGAAAACAGCACGTATTAGTGATATGGAAAACAGACTTGATTTATTGGAGAAGCGCTTATTTGAAGAAAGTCAAACGCATCGAGTACAAGCAGTCCGGATTGAAGAGCAGCAGGAAAAAACAAATCAGCTACTTGCAAGAATTTTAGATAATTTAAAAGAAAAGAAATATTAAGTGTACAAGAAAAATTATGATACATGTAATGTCAAGTATTCTGATAAGGAAGGTGGATTGCAATGAAATTAATCACAAGTTTCATTTCCGTAAAAACAAGAGTGAATATTTGAAAGTACAACAGCTATGAGAAAGTATCCAGCAACTGGTGATAGAGCAATCTTCAGACCACCTTTAAATCTATTAAATGACCACAAACTCATAGCTTTTCCAAACTCATGTTCAACACTCACCCACAAAATTGACATATGTGTATTAATTGCCTTTAAAACAGGATCTAAAACCTACCAACCTTTGTCTTATAACCTCCAATAATTCCATAAGAAAGTGTATATGCAGGATCTCCATATAAATAACATCTTTCTTCTGGTATTAGGCTATTATTAATTCTTCTCAAATAGAACTCTAAACCAGAATTTAAATAAACTCCCCAACCACTCTCCCTTCTAAACCAGGGGCCTGAAAGTGACGAAATATTACCATCGGAAGTCATCACAGCTTGAAACCTGTGTGTATGTAACTTTTTATATCTCGAATAAAACTGTTGTTGATGAACTGTAGGACAACAAATAGCCCACATTGTTTTATCGATGAAACTCCAAACCCCCTTCACACTACTCTTTACTTCAATTAAATTAATATATCTCTTCACTTGTGCTACTGACAGTCTTTCATCATTCTAAACCATTTGTTTTTGGTATCATAATATAACGTATTCCACAATATTGTTAAAAATTGATGAGATCCAAGACAGTGAGTGATAAAATATTTTCATATCATCTTTTAAGCGATTAGAAGCTGATAGCTGATAGAGTAGTACACAAATTGCAGTTTTGGGAGAACCAATGTAACCACTTCTGAAGTGAATTTTATCAAGTTGCAAATATGGAAGAAAAGCGTGAATTTCTCATAGACCAAATCTAATTTTAGTTAGCAAATTATATCTTAATAGCAAGTAATAACAAAATATCACTTACCTTAAAAACTCTAAGCGCTATGTCAAATTATATGAGATAAGATTGAATGGTTGTCCAATCAGGACTGGAAGGAGAACTCGATATCGATACTCTCTCATCCTTCTCATTCTATTCTTCTGTCCAGTAACAATAGGAACAGTTGCTGTAATAACTCCTGTGATTATAACAAGGGACAAAATCCTTTCTAGTTGGAATCGCCCATCTCTCATAGTAATAGGATTATGACATTTGGATATAATATAATATGATAGAGTGTGCTATCAGAAGCTAGATAGAAACTGGTAGTACAAAGTCAGAAATAAGTCTAAAGTAAGGGGGCAGTAAGGATACAGAAAACCTACAGGAGAATAATAAAGACTTGGATGTGATTTACTATATGTAGAAACTAAGCCCAGGGAGAGCCTGGAGAAACCAGAAGAAAACCTGTAGAAAGTCCAGGGATGACCTGTAGAAAGTCCAAGAAGGACTTGTATGAAATCCACGGAGGGCCTGTAGAAAGCCGAGGGAAGAACTATAGAAAGCCTGAGGAGGACCTGTAGAAAGCCCAAGGAGAACCTGTAGAAAGTTCAGGGAGGAACTGTAGAAAAACCAAGAAGGACCTGTAGAAAACTCAAGGAAGGCCTATAGAAACCCGAGGAAGAAGCTGTAGAAAGCCCAAGGAGGGCCTATAGAAAGCTCAAGGAGGCTCTGTAGAAAGCCTGTAGAAGACTTGTAGAAAAACCATTAAGGGCATAGAGAAACCATGTTGAAAGTCTGTAGAGGGTCTGGAAACCCTGCTGAGCACCTGTGGAGAACCCAGAGATAGCCTGTAGAAAGCCCATAGAAAGCCTATAAAGAGTCCATAGAAATCCCACAAAGAGCCTATAGAAAGCCTACAAAGAGCCTCTATAAGTAGTGAGTAAGAGCTCATATGCCGGTCATGAAGAAAAACACAATTTGCTTACTTTATTTATCGTTATACTGGATTAGAAGATGTAAATCTTACTCTTTGATTTTTCACAAACCTTTCCATAGCTTGGCTGTCATTAGGGTTGATGATAACCAAGAAAGACATGATGGTTGATGACTTGTTATGAGTGGTAAGCGAATTCATGAACTCTTTATTTAGCTTAGCTAGAACTAAGTGTATGTTATCTCTTAATTGCAACAAAAACCCTAATATGTGACCAGTTGCCATCACAACAAGCCAGAAATAAGCTAACACCACGCTCCGAAATCCCTCTATTGGGATGCAGCAAAGCTCTATGCTTGTCAAACATTTGGGTACAATATTAGAGCCTCACATAAAATGGAACCAAAATGTTTGAAATCAGCTGAAGCAACCTTAATTTGGAAGTTCTGGGCACATACTAAGAGAATGATGAGAGCATACCAGGAAGGTATTGCTTATGGTACTCCAGGATTAAAAGAGAATGTTACAAAGACATATAGAAGTCATTGCAAAGTCTTAGACTCTTAAACTATTGTCTATAATTAATATATTATCCTACATCTTTTATTATTTTCACTCCTTCGTAGTTACTCACTAAGTAGCTTGATAAGAATTTTGCACCCCCACTGTTGCATTTGCTGTACCACATGGTTAACACTTTTCCATTCTTTGTTGGAAATTATGGATTGTTTGTGGAAGCTCGGTCATGAGGATTACCTGGATGTCGGTGGTTAAGCAGCTCGCTTGTTCTCCTTATACTCTTTCCTTTTATTTTGATTCCAGTTCTCTTCTCTCTTCTTGATAAGCTCTTTTCAACATCTGAACAAGAACAACGTCAGTCTTAATACAACTCTTGTTTGATCTCTAATTCTCTCTCTGGTTCTTGCTTTCAGTAAAGCTCCTCTGCACTCTCAGTACTCAGCAATCAGCTGTGCAGATACTCTATACCGTCTATGGCTTGTAGTGTTTGACTTATCACGGATCATTTCTAACATTCTTGAACCCATACTTCACATCTATTTGCGGAGCGATGCGACCGGCCATCTCGAGTGACATCGTGTGACCGCATGTCCAAGCGCAAATAGGATAGCGGCAATAATAGAGCATTTGACACCACGCAAAATTTGACAGGATACCCCACGAGTACTCTAAAAACAACCATCATCATACCCGCGAAATCGGAAATCAAGATAAAATCTCGCGCCAGGGCCCCGGAAACACTGCGGCCAGACATGTCCAGAACGTGGGGGGCCTCAAATGTGCCAGGTCTGCGATGAATCAAATGCGTGCGGTGACTTACTCGTCGACGCTAATGCTAAAGTATCATACAAGAAATCGCTACCTTTGGTAGATCGGATTCCTCTCACTGCCCACCTCCGTTGCCATCCAATCCAAGCATCAAACCTAACCAAAAGAAAAATGGAAAGTAGCGGAGTCCCAGCAACGAATAGGTTTCCGTTCCAACACCGCGAAAAAGCAACCAAACGCCCGAAGGTCAAAAAAAGAGAAAAGGGAACCGCAGACAAACGCCCAGAACTTCCAGCTACAAATTTACTCGTGCAACTATCACTGGTCTTATCAACAGCCTTGCCTCAAGGTTGCACTGTCACCCCCCCCCGCCGTCGATCACAGTGGCTGATGAGGATGCTTCTCATCAAATCCCCGGCCTCCTGAAAGAACGCAGGAGAAGCACAGGACCCATGCACAGAAGCCAAGGACCTGACCGGTGCCACTTAGGATCTTCTTCGGAAGGGATTTTTTTGGCTTCGCGGTTTGTGTTTGGGGGCAGCTCCGGGCGGGTGTTGTGCCGGCTCGTGAACAAGGACTGGCTCGCTGACGAGGACGGGCCCGAGGGTAAACTGGGGTACGGGAAGTAGCTTCAGGCTTTAGGGGGTCTAGGGTGGAGCATTGGCGTGGCGGTGAGTGAGTTGTGAAGGAGGAAGAGGAGTAGGTTGTGGAGAGGGTGCTTGTGGAAGTTTTGTGAATGGACATCCCGGGGGTATTTGATCGAGCGAAGAGGGTTGACGGATGCTTAAGTGAACAGGTAGGTAGATCAATGGGGCCGGATGATAAGTTGATGGTACTGGTCCGTCTGTTGTGTCGGTAGTGACAGTGCTAGCTGGATCATGGAATAATCCCGAAGGCCGAAATAGAATGCTTTCAAAACAGCCGAGATAACGATCGAAAAGATAAACAAAATGAAGCCGCAGGAGGGGAGAGGAGCGGGAACCAGGGGGTTTAAATTTATTTCCCACACGCCCGGCCTCCCTCTATTCTTTCCTTCCTCTATTCCTTCCTCCCTCCCTCCCTTCCTCCCTTCCTCCCTTCCTCCCTTCCTCCCTTCCTTCTTTCCTTCTCCCGCACTGACTCCTACCCCAGCCTCACACCCCACGGTGCAAGGCATCCATTTCGTCAAGGCAAAGGCACATTGTCTGCAAAAAAAGCAAAAAGGTGTAAGAAAATAAAAGTAGTGAGAAAGGGTGTGAGGTCATGCCCCCAGGAAACGTGACCCATAACCTATCATGGAAATCTCAGGACCGATTAAGCGAGTCGGGGTGGGGTTGAGTTCGCATCCCCGTAAAAACTCGTTAAATGGACAACCAGGTCCTGCCAGTCGCGGTAATAAACCACAATAGGATTAGCACCTCGGGTGATCCCAATAACTGATGCCAGTTAAATTTAATGAGATCCAGCGAGCTCATCTCGCCCGAGGGCGACCGTCCTGCTACTCGAGTACCGTGCCATGTCTGGAGAACACCGATCATTCTCCCTAAGTCTCGTCTGGCTGTGGAGATCGAGGGCTATCGGGAGTGAGTGGATTTAACGAGTTCCTGTGGGTATCGGTACCGGTATGGTACTCAACTGGGACCGGATCGGTAGAATCCTTGAGAATGGCAAGAGGGAATAACTGCGGGTCAGTTATCGTAGAGAGGGCAAAGGTGAAACTCCCCACGTCAGGGCTGGTATAGTACAAATGGTAATGTGGGGAGCATTTCTTGCTGGAAACGTTACCGGTATCCTGGCCCGACCGACGATAAAGCGCTCATTTTGTGAGCGCAGGCATTGTTTCGGGCTCGTGAGTGGGATGCCTGCTGCCAGTTCCTGCTGAACTCCTCTGTGTGAGTAAGCTGGGGTGGGTATGATCAGCGCGAGCTATCAGAAGTCTCACTTGCTAACTTATTATGGCGGAAATTCCAAACGGTGAGGGTGGATCATCAAATTCTTCCATCTTCCAAAAAACATGGGTATCGCCAAGCCGTTTTTTCACCTATCATACCGGCTTCCTCCTTCCTACCATCAGAACATTCCCCCGCCCAGATACAAAAGCTTAACCTAAAACTCCCGATCCATCCACTCCACCCAGCTCAGACATTTTCTTCCGTCCAACCACCCAAACGCTCTCAATTCTTGTTTCCAAACAAATGCTTTAATGCCATAACTTATCGTTCTTGTCAAGTAAGAGTAGATCGGGAATCGCTGCTGATGCGCTCCAGCACTCAGACAATCTACGTTTCACGAAACGCACTCTATCGCGAGTTTCCATTGCACCTTCCCCACAACCCCCACCGTACCCTAGACTGCGGGCCCCTGATTACTGTGTCATATCATATGATACTTCACCAGTTACGAGTACTATGTGTGGTGTATGAGTAGAGGAATTTCTTAACAACCCCAGTAAACATCTCCTGAAAAACCCTGAAGTCACGTGAGAGGGACCGAGTATTTCTTTCGCCCCCTCCCTCTCCCTTTTCCATATCGAGATACTTGTACCCTTACCTAGCTATCCAACTGTCTAGCAGAGATATCGCAAGTGTGCTCGCTCACCCCCGGTCAGTGAGGCGAACAAGCAAACAACACACAGGAAGACTACAGGGTGGCTCGTTTCTAGTAGTGGGTTCCCGATTATCAGAGCTTGTGATTGTCAATTGAAGCATGAGGCTTTTCTCACCGACTTCTTGTTTGGTCCGGAGCAAGGTTACGGGAGGAAGTAAGGGGAAGACGGGGGGGAGGATTATGGGGGGGGACCTACGGTGGGAACTTCAATATTATCATCTATTATCCTTGTTTGCCGACCCGGTGGGAACGATAGATTGGTGTGGGTTGTCGCTAGCGGTGAAGTTTTGTACTCGAGGGGTTTTCGCGAGACGTGATAAGCATGAGGTAACCTATGGGATTCATATATCGTACCCCTGTATATCTCTTCCTCATGGTGGAACACCCTTAGATCATCGCAATCATTCCCTAATCGTTCCCTGAGGGAGTACTCGGGCGGCTGGCTGGCTAGCGACTGGGGATCTCACATCAGGGTCTATCTAAGGAGGAACAGCTTTTGGGCCTCTCCAGGTGTCGAGCGCAAAGCCTTCTTCGGCTCCGGAAGCACACTTTGCTGTAATAGTTGTTAAGTCCCGTGTAAGGCAGCCGGGAAGAATGATCGCAAGGTATTAGGAAAAGGAAGAGAAGAGAGGAGAGAGTCAAGTTAATTAAATCTCTATCTCGGAGAAGGGAAATACAAAAGTAAATAAGGTATCATAGGGGAAAAAAACTCCGAAATCCTCCTGTCTAATATCGATGATGTGGTGATCACAGGTGATGCTCCTCCTCTTTCCTCCACTTGGATGGCTTACAGCACTGTCGGAATATCTGGTAGCATTTATTGTCGTACTCTAAGACTATCAATTTACAGACCTGTGCATTCGCAATACCCAGGACCCGTTGCAATCGTCGTTGATTCTATCGTTCCCCCATAGACCCGCCCTTAATGCTTTCACATCCCCCCAACCAACCTCCCATCAACCATCCTCCCTCCATTATTCAATCTTCTCCACCCCTCAGTCCTCAACTTCTCCACCCCGCGCATCATGAACGAATTAACCCACCTCCTCATCCCCCCTTCCTCTGGCCAAATAGTGATACACCACACCTGCACTTCGTGCCAGAAGTACCCATAAACCTCCCGCCCAAGTCCAACCTTCGCCAAAGCGTGTTGGGCAAACACTTGTGGCGTCACGAGGAATATATTACCGTCATCAGATATGGGCGTCATTTTAGTGCGTACTCCACCAACTATTATCGGGAGTATTTCCAACTCCGCTGAGGAGGCGGAGGAGGTTGTGGTGGAAGAGGCTGGATGCGGGGAAGCTAGTTGAGCCCGCAAGCATGCGTAGAATTTATGGGTGTACGATTTCGATGCTGAGTAGGTGGGAGTTCCCGACCTATCACTCGATTCTTTAGCCCCTTATTCGGCTATAATTTCCCCCGCAGTGGAAACTCACAAGGTCATAACACCTCCAACACTCCCCATCCCAATCACACACGCCCTTCTGGCAAACCACCCGTTCATCAACGCTTTAATGACAAGCACTCCGAACGTAGCGTTCACGGCCACGTTATCGATAACCTCCTCATCACTTAATTCCGAGAACGCCTTTATAGGTGGGATAGCGCCGGCGTTGTTGATCAATAGCGTCACGCGGACGGTCGGCTCTAGCATCAGCAGTGCTTGACCAATACCCCCAGCTCGAGCATCCACTGCGTCGATGGGCAAAGGAAGGAATGCCTGACGGGGGTACTTCTCCCGGAGCTGTTCTAGTAATGGGTTTATCCGCGCTTGTGTTCGGCCGTGGAGGATTATATTCCACTTTTGATACAAATTAACGGGATTCAGATTGATAGAAGGGAAGGGGAGAAGTAGGAGATACCCCTCTATCAGCAAGTTCCAACGCAAACGCCCGACCAATCCCGTCGGTAGCGCCGGTGATTAGTGCGAAAGCGTCTGGCGTGTGGTAGTGCTCTTCAAGGTATTTCGCGCCATGATGGAGGAGATGGGTATGAAGTGTCGTAGGGAGTGACAGGAGGGAGAGGAGAATTTGCAGGATGAGGTGTAGGGTGGTGGAAAGGAGGAGGTGGAGGGCGTAGATGTGTGAAGTGATATATGAGCAAGTGAGGGAGGGGGTCATTGTAGAAAGTGAATCAGCACTGATATTATCTGGTGCCCCCCATAGACCGCGAGTGATTCTATCTCTGAACCCAGGTTGGCACCCCTTGCACTCTTTATCCCCTCGTTTGGTTCGGTTGCTTGTACAAGTACCGGTATTAAAAATCAGCAGCGGTGTAGCTCGGCACTTAACCACAACCCATTCCCTAGTGAGAAATGATCGTCCGAGAGTCATAGATCTTGCGCTACCTGCATCTGAATTCTGGACCCCACTCTGGAGCTGAATACCGGTAGGGCGGTAGTACTAAGTATCACCACCGGAAGAAATATCGATTAGTTAGCTACAGTACCCGGTTCATGAATTCTATTGGCTAGGTCAGCGTTGAGTGATCAAAACCATACAAGTACGAGTACATCGGTGAGATTAGCTTTTGCGGATCAGAGGACGAAATAACGGCTAAAAAGGTGGACGAAGGAATGAAACTCACCGGGGTGGTTTTTTGCGGAGGCCAAATTTGTTTCCTCATACCCCATTTTTCGCGGCGTCCGTCACCCTTCTGCGAGTGGTGATGTTTACTTTCTACAATATTCTCCTGATGTTGAGAGTGGGTGTTGTGGATTATGTAGTATTAATAACCTCTGGCGATCCCGCCTGCCGAGCTCAAAATGGTTTCCCCAGTGTGTGGTCCGTTTATCCAAGTTCTCGTAGCAGCCTTCCCCATTACGTGGCGAACTCCATGTACGGGTACTACCCATCTCCGATCTATGTCTTCCTAAGATGATCTCAGATATGACCAAACAACCCGGCACCCAGACTCAGATGGAGCGGATATCTTCCATTCCAATGGGCATCACCGCTCGTTGCAGTGCTGCCATTGTGAAGTGTCTACTGTACAAGTACAGTACAGAAACACATTGGCTTAGACACGGCTCTGCTCTACGTGCCGACTATCACCTCAGGGCCGTTCCCATCGTATCCCGTTCTGTCTGCCCGGGGTACCGCACCTCCTTAGACTCGAGTTTGTACTATTGGCCTCTAGCCTGTCGTAGCGCTGGGGAAATGCTTCCTATCTTCCGAAGAGAATTCACTATTTGTACTATTTGTGAAGTTAAATACCGGTAACTTATGGTAACAGAATTTTAGTCGTAGGTCATCCGCGACTCGACCACTGAGATCGAACTTGGCAATGTAGTGACAACATAAGAGATCCAAATTTCACTTGGGGAAATCCTTCTAATTGCTAGTAATCTGATTGGGTAGTTGTTTATTAGAGTGTGACGCTAACATAATAATATTATCATGTTGTACCCACTATTATTAACTACGAATATCGCGATAAAACTGATTAACTTTTGCCCCAACATACTCCTCCCCCACCCACGTCCATAACAAAACACCGTGCCATGACCCCCCAACTAACTCACGAATTGTCCCTGGTGGCCATCCTCTCCAGGTACCCAACTCCATCCACCCACTTCTTCTCCGCCGCAACATCCCTCGCTGTCTTCCCCTCCCTACTTTTCAAATGCAACGGCGACCGCCCTTCCTCCACCAGTGTCCTAACAGCCTCCCAGTTCTCCCACGTGGCGGCCCAATGCAGCGCGGTGCACCCACCATGATCCTGAACACCCACGTCCACATGACCGAGTAACTCTCTGATGGCGTCCATGCTCCCAATCCCGGCGGCAAGGTGCAACGCCGTTCGCCCGGACGAGTCCATGATCCTGGGATCCGCACCATGTGCAAGCAATACCCTCACGGGGCGCGCACCGTTCCTGACAGAGCAGTGGAGAGCGGTATAACCGCCCGCTTCCGCTTTCATGTTGATGACCTCCTTTCCCGCATGCTTCGCGAGGAGTTCTAGTAATTTCGCGTCGCTGCTCGCATAATGCAGTGCTGTGAGACCGTGGCGATTCCGCCTTGCTATATCCGCTCCCCCAGATAGTAGTATTTCGGCCATCTCGGCGGTTTTCGCGAGGTGTAGAGGCGTAGACCCCGTACTGCTCACGGCGTTGGGGGAACCACCGAGGGCGAGGAGGAGTTTGACTAGCGGTCGGTGCTCCCGCTCAGTTGCTTGGAAGATCGGCGGCAGGCCGGACCATGGCTCTCGCGCACGTTCCATTAAGTGCGGGGTTAGGCGGTAGTGCAATTGTTTGCAGGTTTGAAGGAGACGACCGAGGGCTGGGGCGGAGAGGCGGGAGACAATGATTGCGAGTAGTTCATTGGGAAGGGAGAGGAGGGTTACTGGCTCCCTTGTTTCTTGCTCGGGGTTTTCGCCAGATATGGCTGTCGTCGCTGTTGCTGTCCTGAGGATAGAGGTGGTGGAAGTACAAGGGGGGAATGAAGGTTGTATCATCGTTGGGATTGATGCACTTCGTGATGATTTTCCTATCCTAGGCTCAATGGCGGGTGTTTGGGAAAAGTGAGGTTCGGTGTTGAAGCCTTGCTCCCCGTAGTGCTGTTTCCTCCCTTCTCCCATCAGGTGGGCGGGAACGGCATACTTGTACGTGGGAATAAGAGCTAGAAAAAGGAAAGAAATTTTGGGAGAAAGGAATATATCATAATACCATTATCTGGCCATCTTCTCCCGTCCTCGTGCGCACCCCTACCTCCTCAGCCACAAAGTGAGGATTCGGGCGAACAAGTCATTATGCCTGTGGCGTTACCCCTAGCGCGGACACACCCGTCGTAAAGCCAGCGTGCAAAAGACTTCTCATTCAGACACTCCCTTTCTTATCACGCCGTCCTGAGAAAACGCGTTTATCGTGTCATGCCTCTCGTAATTCGTTTTTCTGCGGTCCGGATGGGAAGGTTACTGATCATCGAGGAAAGGCCCGACTGATCGTGAAATCTCTGCCATGACGGAGAAAGAAAGAGCGGTTTCTTCCCAAAAGGGGGATGAAGATCCGCATCGGGCAATCGGGTCAGACGAGATTTCTGGTTTTGTAGGTTCAAAATCGGTTATCTAGGCAGGCGGCCGACGGATTGTCGGGTTCTGGGTAATGGTTCCTGAGTATGAGTGGGGTTAGTGATCATTGGGTGGATAGTGTTGCTCTTGTCGGGTTTCGCTTTTCATTTTGCGGGGTACATACAATTGTGAGAAGAAAACAGGGAGAGACGATGGACGCACTTTAATACGTCACTTAGTAGGTAATCGTAGCCGCAATTTGTAATCCACCAGACCATCGTAATTCTCCGTAACCTTATTTGGGTGCGGCGATTGAGCCTGATCCCAAGGACAAACGTCGTCCACCATACAGGCATTTTACACCAAAATGCGGGATTTGAACTATTTACAGCTGTCCCAAAACAACATATACAGTAAATTGGCCTAAGTAGCATCATAGGCTTTTCCTTCAAAATTCCTCAGCGGGGGCTGTGTCATTTTGGCTAACCGTGCCAAGGTTCCCGCCACTTTGAAAGACAATAGGCGACTTGCAAAGATTGATGGCACTCCTACGGAGTGCCGGACAGCTCAACATGATGGACAGCTCAACGTGACTTTTATTGATTGAACGCCCAATCTCATGAAATAAAAGTTTTTGAATCTTTTGATTCTTATTCCTGTCTTTTACAGCCTTCCGCATTTGCTTGGAAATCTCTTTCCATTGTTTTTTAACTTTATTTTCAGCAGCTTTAGTCACAATATCAAGTGAGCGCTGAGCCTTCAGAATGGTTAGGAATACCAGGAACCGATACCTAGGAACCACCCTAAGTAGGGTAACCCCACTCAGAATCAGAATCTTTGGTCTCCAACACCCCCCTCCAGCTCTCTTATGGGACCTGCATGTTATCACACAAATCAATCTCAGTTACATAGCTCAATTGGAATATCATGTGACTCTTTACTGACGGTCATGTGTTTAACTCCTGTTATCATCAAAGTTATTTCTGGTATTGAGTTATTTTCTACCAATACTGCTGGCAACTGCAAGGCTCTCTGCATGACAACTGAGGACCTCTGACAGAAGAGTTATGATTCTATCCTATAAAAGTACTTCTCCTCTACATGAGAGAAGTTACTGGATAAGAATCTATTAGTTGAATTAGGAGATATTTAGCTTCTAAGTTGATGACCTAAGAAGATTGCATACATGACTTCGCAGAGTCCTCGTGAGCAACTAAGGATTGCCGACCAAGAGATTATCAGTCAATCTGGTAGAACAGCATTTCGTGAATTAGTAGAGAGTCTTCCAGAAGATATCTGTTAGTTAGATAAGGAGTTATAGAGGTTTGAAGTCAGGCAATTTAGAAACATTGTAATGATGACTACCATTGAAGATACAACCTTCAGATATAACTGATCATTTCATCAATGATGGAGACTATTGGGTTTAACTCAATTCGACTTGAGAACTAAGCTGTAAGTCTAAAGACCCTGATGATCAGATGATTACTATTGGGAACAGTATGGTGCCTAGTTAGCAATATTGTAATTACTGAAGAGGATGTGGTGATTTTCAGGGTCTCCAGGTGTTCGCACATTTGCAGAATACATGATATTGCAAGTTATAATAAGAGAGGTACAGAGCTGTATAATAGATAGATGTAGTCCACAAACACTGAGACGTGAAATATAAATATTGAAGTGCCTTCCAAGCTTTAAGATATTATCAAGCAATGGCGAAGAGGCTTTAACAATATAATATTATCTTCATGATTCTACTCTACTTTACCTACCAGACTTCACTCTTAGTTGTAACAATCCCTCCTCGGATTGTTAGTTCTTGGCGACGGGGAACGATACTTCTCTTCTCTTACTTCTTCTTCCTTCTTCTTATGATAGTGCTAGGCCTCTGCCTTCGTTACCGATAGTACAAGACCTTAGTCTTCTATCAGGGACGCCTATCATAAGCTTTCTCTAACTCTTCTGTGTGAAGAACTTTCCTTGGTGTAACAATAACATTGTAATAAAGATAAAGATTGTAAAGGTGTTTTATATTCGTTAAAGTAATAAGTAGGAAAAGTACTTAGAAGTCAATCTAATTTTATTTAAACTCGTACCGCCAATACTGGCATACAATGAGCTCCCGCCGGCACAGGGATTTTGCTAACCGGTATACCACTAATCCTAAGCTAACCAAGTCTACGAGCCCGTACCTGCCATCCCCGAGTCATGCCCGTACAAGAAGTAATTACAAGACCATCAAACAACCCAGCACCCGCCCCAGCCCAAGTCCGTAGCTGCGCTGGTATGAAGCCAACCGGCACTAAGCATAGCCAAAGCCGAGCAAAAGACCAACCCAACCAGGTTCCTCGTCCAACAAAATATAAAATCACTACTGCCTGGTCTGAACACCGTCCCGCAGATCCTCCACTACAATAAAAAACCAACAAAACCAAAACAAATATAAACTACAGGTGACACAATGGCAGAGAGGAGGTGACCAACATGTCCACCTCTCACATCTGCATGCCCGGCCATCGACCCTATGAACCTACTTTGCCAAGTGCCTCCAAAGAGCGTAATGGTGAGGAGGACCTGTACCTGCTACCTGTCTCCCAAAAAACAAAATCCATAAACAAAAGAAATACATAGAGGTAGTGACAGACAGAAATAGTCAGTAGGGCCTATCTCCCACCCGTGGTGCCTTGCTCCCACCAGCCATGCCCACTGCCAAACCAAAGAAACCAAACAAGCTCGACAACACCCAGCATGCAGAACCAAAACAAGTCCAACCAGGGGGTCGCAATCCACTATCTGCACAGGTGGCCATCAGCCAGGCCAGGTCGCAAGGGAGCTTTACAGCACTCAGCAGATTTACCTCAACAGCTCCAGCAGGCTGGAAACACTTAATTAAACATCTTCCAACCTGACGCATGCCCGACCGGTGCTTGCAGGTACCTCTCCCATCCCAATCAGCCCCCCCAAGCCCCACGCACTAGACACCATCCAGCCCATCCAGCCCCTTCAGCCCTTCGGACAGGTTAACCATCCGATAGCCACAGGACAACTTATATCTAGCCCCGATAGACAGCCACTGGTCTTGGCCACCCAACAGAGCGACCACCCTCAACTTCATACCGGCCGAGGGGGGCCCACTAGCCGAAGCTAGGAGCCAAAAAGGAGGTAGCACCAATACCCGAAAGCACCAGCACTGGCCACACCTTTCAACACAGCTGCACCGAAGTCCGACCGGGACGGGAAAATGTCAGGCAGAGCTTAGCCGAAGCCAGCCCCACAGGTCCGGCAAATGTACAGACCAAACATTAGGCAAGAGGCACCCCCAACTGAGGTGACAAGAAGGAAGGGGCAAGGGAAACAGAAGCAGTCAAACAGAAGGTAGGCTCCACTTGCAATGGGTAAAGCCGCCAACCACAAACTACAACCGAACCAACCCAATGCACAGACAACGCGAGTGTCTGGCAGCCAATCATCCCACACCACCCCAGATAGTCATAGACAACCACACAAGGGGGCAGAGTCTTTCAGGGTCAAAGCCATCCCCACCAAGGCAGAGAGGAGACACCTGATGTAACCACCATGAATGCCACAAGAACAAAACTCTAAGGGAACGGTGATAAACAATATTGTAGAATTTTCGACTGTAGAAACATGTAGTAACGAGGAGGGTGGGGGCCGGTGAGGCCCCCTCCCCAGTGGATTGATGCGGCATGTATGACACATTGAAACTTGGGAAGGTCATCAGTCTAACCCATGGGCGTTTTGTATCGTGAGAACTAAGGACTCCGTTAAAACCTAACAAAAGACATAAGCTGGCCCAAAGAATGACAGGGGTGATCCCCCCAAACACAATATTCAATCCCCACAATCGAACGCGAAACCTGTGAGTAGATGATAGACAGGAAGCCATAGACATTTTACCGAAAGGGGCTCGTAAGCGACTATGATGAAGTGCTCGAAGTGACAGCATCAGGAGAAACCATCAGGTGATGAAACGAGAAGCAAACAAGTAGTCTACCACATAACACCTAACAGACCTCAACACCAAAGACCCCAGGAACTACTGAGCGAACTCAGATATCTCCGCCAGAATCCAAGGCATTAAGGTCTACCGTGTGTGCGAAAGAATTGCTTGGGGCGAAGTGATGGCGAGGACGAGGAAAAGTACTTAGAACAAAGGGTGAAGAACCTATCCTCCTCGGCCGCATCAGCCTCCTTATATAGTATTCTTCCCGCCCATAGACATGTGACCCAAAGTGGTCAAATGTGCGAAACCAAATCATAACAAACTGGTCATGTGACCAAAGTGGTCACATGCTCAAAACCCATGACCTCGTAGCGAGGTCATGTGAAAAAACTCATAAAGCAATCATAACGCAAGAAACAAGTCATATAACTCGACTGAGTCATATGTGTGAAACCCATCACCTCATAATGAGGTCATGTGTGAAACAATAACATACTTGTGACTCGTAACCATGCGTCATGTGAAAACCTTTTTCATGCCAAGCCACGTTCATGACACTTAGTAGTCATAAACGAAACATGTATAATTCAAGCCTTCCTAAACAATTTCTGTCTACTAAAAATAATGAATTTTGGTTGGTTTAGACAACTCTGAATCTATACAGATTATCTCCACCTAATACTCCATAGGAGAGCTATCCATCATAACAAGTCGCCTAATATCTTTCAAAGTAGCATGCGTCTTGGCATGATTATACTGTTGTGAGAATTGTTATTCATTTTCAAAAACTCATTAGTTATTGTCTGTATGTACCATTATATGTTTCTTCCCTACTCACATACCAGAGGCACTGAAGTCCCTGATCTAAGAACTGCTATCTGGGTAACTGGGTTCAATTCTCAATAGTAGAAATGCTCCTAGTCCTCCATTTTCCTTCTCCGATTCACACAACTATCCAGTAGCCAATTATACGCTTTCTACCATTCTATTCGCTTTTTTATTTTTATTTTTATTTTTATAGGAATTCTCATGAATGTGGCTTAGTGAGAAAAAGGTTTTCACATGACACATAGTTATGAGTCACAGGTATGTTATTGTTATACACATATGACTCATTCAAGTCTTATGAATTGTTACATGTGGGATTTGTGATGCTTTCGCGCATGGCTCAAATATAAGTCTTGGG